CAAGGTCAGCAACCACACTATCTGGGTTGTCCGGGACATCCAGATGTTTCTGGTATAATTCCTCTGTATATTCTTGCCACCTCTTCTTGATGTCTTCTGCTTGTGTAAGGTCCTACCATTTTTGTTCTTTATTATGTCCATCTTTGCACAAAGAGTTCCTTTTTCCCTTTCTATTTTTTTCCTCTGTATCTTTTCATTGTTCATTTACAAAGGCCCTCTTGTCTCTCCTTGCTATTCTTTGGAAGTCTGCATTCTATTTTCTGTAACTTCTCCTATCTCCCTTATGTTTTGTTTCCCTTCTCTTCTCTGCTATTTGTAACGCCTCGTTGGACAGCCACTTTGCTTTCTTCCATTTCTTTTCTTTGGGATGTTTTTTGTTGCTGCCTCCTGTACAATGTTATGAGCCTCCATCCATAGTTCTTCAGGCACTCTGTCCACCAAATCTAGTTCCTTGAATCTGTTCTTCACTTCCACTGTGTATTCATAAGGAATTTGGTTTAGATTTTACCTGCCTAGCCCAGTAGTTTTTCCTGCTTTTTTCAGTGTAAGCTTGAATTGTGCTATGAGAAGCTGATGATCAGAGCCCAGGTCTTGTTTTTGCTGACTGCATAGAGCTCCTCCATCTTTGGCTGCAGAGAATATAATCAATCTGATTTTGGTGATGTCCATGTGTAGAGTTGCCTCGTGTGTTTTGGAAAAGAGTGTTTGTGATGACCTGCTTGTTCTCTTGGCAAATCTCTATTTTGAACTCCAAGGTCAAACTTACCTGTTGTTCCTTTTCTACTTTAGCATTCCAGCCCCCTATATTTAGTGGTGTCAGTTCTAGAAGGGGTTGTAATTCTTCATAGAATTGGTCAATGTAAAGGGCGGAGTGGTGGTGTTTTCCATAGTTTCTGTTGGAACTATGGCCTTTGGTCTGTCACCCTTGCATGTCTCAAGAAGGAAATGAGACTCGTTTAATGTAATTTTTATTTCTATGTAAAAAGCAAAACAGTCTTCTGAATGAATCAAACCAGAGATGATCTTACTGCATAATGCTTTTGTAATAAGAGAAAATGTGCTTGGCAAATAATACCAAGTCTTATGGACTAAGGCAATATGTAATTATTTTGCACATAAGATTTAATTTATATCTTCTTTCCGAAAAGCTGTTTTTAAAATGAACAGTTGCATCTTATTTGTACAGTGGAGATTTAAAACACTACCTGAACCATAAGCTTTCTCATGTTTGGATTCATAAGCAACCAGTGGGAGAGAAATTGGAAGATGTTGAGAAAGTAGTATTGTTCTTAACTGATATACCATCCTTGAAACATTTTTGCATTTCTGCTACCATTATTGGTGAGACTTTGTAGATAGTGGTATATTGTGTGCCACTTGAAAATGCACTCACAGATGTTGTGTTTTCTAGTTGAAACTTTTGCTTATGTATACTGGATTTCTCCGTTTACTTGGGAACGGTGTTGCTTGTCATAGTATTTCTTCAGAAAAAGAAAAAGAGGTATCTGCCATTTTATTATTTTGAAATTGATTCCATTTTAAGCGTTCTAACTGACTCCCCATTTCTTTTTTGTCTTTCTTGAATGAAAGGAAAAAATAAAGATTGTTTTGCCACTTCACTGCTTGATGTGGCAAGCCAGTTCCCCACCCCAGATAATGTCTATCTTGCCTGTATATTCACAGCTCAAGAAGCTACATGTGGTCTCCTTCAAAATGTTGTTTTAAGAAGGTGAGGTGATCAAGGGAGAAAACAAGAAGCAAAGAGATTATCAGAGCCTTTTCCTCCTAACTTCAGAGTTTCATGCTCTGTTCTATTCTGAGAACTGCTCAGTAGGAGAAATGCTGTCAGTTTTTAGATTTTTGTAACAACAAGCCTCCTCTGCGGAGAAAATGAAGATCTCTGACAAGTTAGACACTGAGGCTGCTAATTATGGTTGTTCTTTTTACAGTGTACATGAAACCTGAGGCATGTAGGAAAATGTGGTTTTATTCCAAGTTTACAGGGACCCAATCCTGAACACATTTGCAGCCATGATTGACTGCATTTTAACCAGGCTGAAAATATGTCTGCAGAGAACTCAGCACAATTTATGGTTCATTTCAGCTTTGGCAGAGTGGCATGAACATCTAGGTAGCTACTGCAAGACATTGCTGTTTCTTGGTTTAGAAACAAGTGGAAAAAAGATAGTTAACTCTTTGTCCTCTGTAATAAATCTCTATGAGAAAATAATTCTGATAGAAATGTAAGTATTTTCTCATATTACAAAATCCATTAACATTGCTATGACATAATTTTTGTGGGGTTGCATGCATACCAAAATACACAAACTCCTTTTTTTAAAAAAGTAGTGTCTCAATGGATGTTCCGTACATGACTTGTTTTGTGCGATAGCTTCCTAAAGAAGATAAATTGACTTTGTTCTTGAGGTGAAAATAATTAGTGTACAGGAAATTCTGTCTCTGTTGGCACAGATATGCCTAATCTGAAGTGTAATCCCATTCAATCCTGAGGTGCCCATTAGTGGAAATGCTGATGGTGCTGTCCCTTTGATTCCCTTTGTTTCTGTGAAGATTCTCAGTCATCCAGGTGGTGTTATCTTTCAGGGGAAAGGGCAGCACGATAACTAGGAGACAGATTGCATCTACGGCCTCCACCCCTGCTAAGTGAGGGATTTTCTGTATGCACATGTATGGCCTCCCTGACCCCTCTCTCAAACCACTTATCTTCTCCATCCAAAATGAGTACATATTGGTCATCAAATGAGTGTCCTTTGACTTTCAGATGAAAGAACACTACTGATTATATCTCCAGGCTTAAGAGGAAGGTACCTCACAATGCCAGATGCAGGGGAGTGTTAGCAGGAGACAGGTATCTAGTTGTCTCATGTACTCCCAGAGGCATCTGATGGAGCCACTGTGGGATTCAGGAAGCTGTGATACAGGACTAGATGGGCCCTTGGTCTGATCCAGTAGGGCTCTTCTTATGTTATTATGATTGTGGTCCTGAGCCACTGCCCCGTCTGTGCTGGGCCATTTCCCTGTTTAGTGGCTGTTTGGTTCCAGTGTAGAGCTCCAAACACTCCTCTTTGCATTGGACCATATATACTCCTGTTGTGTTTTGGTATCTGGTCTTTTGGGTAGACGAGTCTCTGCCTTAGTCTGTTTGTGGGTTTTGAAGTGCACATTCCATTTGTTGTTAGAGTGAGTTAGTGTTGCATTTATAGAAAGGAAAATAGAGTCATAGAACCCAATCTGTGTGCTCTCTATTATTTAGGTTTGCATGGTGGCACTCTAAAACTTCTACATTGGCAAGGGGGTTGGGATAGATGACCTCTGAGATGCCTTTCAACTCTTACAAGTTTATGGCAACTACAGAATGCGAAATGAATCCCAAACTGCATAGTTGCCCCATACCATTGTCACAGATAGAAGAATTGGTAAATCAAAATAAGTTGTGAATTAGATATTATCTAATTGCTAATTTATTACCAGACTAACCATTACTCTCAGACGAACTGATATCTTTTGTCCATATTTTTTTTGCTGTTATTGGTTATTTCTGCATAGGCTAATCAGCATCTCTTTTGCCCCATTGTTTCCCTTCTGGAACAACTGCCGAGTTCCTCTTATACACAGTTAAACCAGTTTTAGGAACAAGAACTTTCTCTTTGAACCCCCTCCCTTTTATGGACTAAATTCATCCTCCTGTTCTTAAGGAATTTGTCAGCCCTGGCCAAAATTATCCTCACTGATAGCCTTGATGTCCATTAAACTAGGATTAGCTAAAGGCAAAGTTGGTTAGTTACGCATAATTAACATATTAGGTCAGCATGTCCTGTAAGAGTGGTTGAGTCAAGAAAGAATGGGTTATAATGGTCAAAAGTAATAAGGTATTCAAGGAAGAATTACATTTCTGTGAAACTAGCTTGCCTTTCCTTAAACATGGTTAGCAGAAAGCAGTAACTCAATAGGTGAATAAACAGGGTGGTCTTTCCATTCTGTTTTTTGTTTTAATATTGATTTAAGAAGGACTGGGAATTAGGCAGAAAAGGAGTTCATAGTTACTTTTAAACAGTAGCTGAAGCCAACATAATCTATGGTGGGATGCCACTTCCTTCCTTTTTTCATAGAAAAGTCATACAAGTCAAAATTTATAAACCTAGAACAAATCATGGTCTGTAATCCTTGCTTGTATGTGACTTTCTAGATCATAGAAAGATTGATAAAATCTAGCATACTTCTGTGATCTAGAAATTGGCCATTGTTCTTTGGATCCTGATCAACTTTTGCACCTTCCCATGGTGTACATTATAATATGATTAAAATCTGAGTAAATTATTCTTACTGGGAGTAAAACTCGTTGAACTGAACTGCATGGGAGTGGAGGAACAGGGATAGGAGTGAACTGGTAATTTATCTGACTTAACGTCTGATCCACTGCAGAAGGAGGCAGCAGACAATAGCAGCTTCTTGTTTTGATCAGTTCACAAAATATTTTTGTTAATTTGCATTAAGTTATATTGACGTGTATAATCAGACCTTTAAGATTGTAAAGGATTTTCTTGCTTCCTTTACTGTGATCATGATAAATGTTCCACAGGTACCAGAGATTTGCATTGCTATATCTATATAATGATTCTCTGTTAATTGTTCTAAATTAAACCATTACATTCACTGGAATCCTGTCGCTTAGTGTAAGGAGTCACAACTAGATCAGGCCCATGTGAATGACTGGGACCTATGGAGGAGTTGACTTGCCACATCACCACTGATTCACTGGGTCTTCTCTAAGTTAACTTGCTATCAATGTGCTGTTTTACTTTACTTGCAATCTAGTTTGGATAGGTTTAAAACCCACTGATCTCCAAAGGTTTTCTGAAGAGCCCAAGTGCTATTTCTTGTTTGCAGACTCATTTTCAATAATAGGCACTTGTATCTTGGCTTTGTGTCTTGATCTGCAACAAAGTAAAACAGCCTGCATTCTTTTTGCTACAAAACAGGTGCAGTCTTCAGGCAAAATCCTGGCTGGGAGCTGTTCTTGTGAGATAAAGCAGTTTGAAATTACAAAACATGACACTTCAGTGGAGGAACAGAAGGAAAATCTGTGCATCACCTGGCGCTCTTCCCAACCTGCCTTTGAAACGTCCAGTGAGTTTTGAGTTTTCTACAGTTGTTCAGAATATGAGGACAATACCCTGCTTACTGAAGGCTGCGTGAAACACTCCAGCTACAAACCCCTCTCTAGTTTCCCATTGCACAAGCTAGAGATTGTCTTTGTTGATTCTGGGCAAAAGTTGTGCTTGCACAAGGAGGTGCGTCCTTGTGTGAACTCTGCAAGTCTCCCTGTGTGCAGAATGGAATTGTTGTACGTATGGAATGAGGCAAGAGGAGTCTACGAAGTGTACCGATTTCCTTTTTTCTGGCTAAAGCAATTTTATCTTGAAATAACCGAATAGGAGAAAGGGCTTTGTTTTTTAAAACCTGCTGCATTTTAATAAGATATGAAACCCACCAGCGGCATACTAATTTTGTTTTTAAAATGTAACTCATAGCACAGCTGAGAAACACAGTTAAAATGTTTTGACTTTTTGTTTTCCTTCACTATACCTTCAGAATTTTATTAGAGGTGTCAGCATTTTTCTTAGCTCAAAAGTAAGTTCAGAGCTCTTACTCTTGGATGCTAATGATACTCTCCTGCATGGATGGAGGCTTCATGCCTATTCATCCCATTCATGTTAATAACTATTATACTTTGCCAGTGTTGATCTTCTCCCCAGCCATGTTCCCTTGCCTTTTTAAATCTGAGATACAGGGCTGCAGCTCTGATTTGCCAGTACGAGTTAGAACTACGCATCATGGAAAGACACTTCATTTTGATAAGTCCAACTTGTTGAAACAACATACAAAAAGTTGTGTCCATATTCAGAAACATGGGGCAAGGGTGTTCTTCATTTGCATCCCTCATAAAAGTCAAGGTGGAAAACCAGCAGGTCATGAACCTATGAAAAACTCTTACTGTGCTTTGGTATCTTTTCCACTCTATTCTGTAGCTGCAGTGGTTCACTTCAGAACCACAGATACAATAGTAGCTTCATTGCTTTGAGCTGCTGTTTAAAACCATAATTTAAAATCCCTCTTGAATATTGCAGGCATTTCCACTTGCAGGTTTTGCATTAATCAGTGTTTGTAGTGATGCACAGGCAGAGATGTTTGTGCCCAGTGACATGCATATTGAACATTTCAAACATACATTTTTGCACTTACCAAGGCTTTCCTGCCACCGTTTTTGCACTGCAGCTATCTGTGCTCCTTCCTTGAAAATACTGTCTCTCAAATGCTTGTGCTGTGGTGCTGGGGCCACAAGAGACATGCAGATGCACCTCTGCAGAAATATGAGTGGTTTCCATTGAGGTGTAAGCCTGTAATCCTTTACTTGGTTAGCTACAACTAATTATACATTTGCTGTATTCATTCACATTGAATATTGTGTTTTCTAGCTGTGGGGGGAAAGTATGCCATACAAACAGTATAGAAGTACAGTTCAAAAAATGGTGAAATTCTGAAATATTGTTGGGTTGGCTCCAGCAAAAGCTTCCTTGGAATAGCAAGTACCCTATGTGTCAGTGGGAGGATTTTGACCTAGTGGTGCTTTTCTGTTGTTTGAAGTGTGGATTAAGTGGTCTTCCTTCACTCTCCCCTCCCCCTGAAGTCCTCTGTGTCCCTAGAATAATTTACCCTGGAAGATGAGGGAACTCTTCAGGGCAGTGGAGGAGATGACTGGAGTTGCGGTGACAGAAGAGCAAAACACTATTTCTTTCCTTGTTTCACCAAGCAGGAGCATCCAGTGCGGTGTTCCATTTGGTGATCAGTATGAATGAATAAAATAACTTGTTGTGAAAATAGGAATGTTTGTACACTCACAGCCTGACTAAATATATTAAAAGAGAGTTAACCTGACCTAGTTCTTAGTTGGTAACTAAGTACTTTCAAAACTCAATTAAAAACGTGGATATTTAAGCAGGCCTTCCCCCCCAGCTAATTCCTGATTCTCTACCCTCCTCTATTTGATTTATTTTGTATGCTGTCCATCTTGCAGAATTGCCTAATTGTGTAATAATTCTTTTCTTATATTAATTCACGTATTTTGTGTTCTAAGCCGCCTAGAGTGGTCGCAATGACCAGATAGGCGGGATATAGAATGAATGAATGAATGAATGAATGAATGAATGAATGAATGAATGAATGAAATGGTCCTGAGAAGCGGCAAATATTTAAACATTTCTATTTGTACACAGAGCAATGAAAAACAGTACCCCCCCCTCACGAGTTATGGCTAATACATCCTACATTATTGGCTATTTTATGTTGTCTACATTAGTAACCTTCACTTTTATTATTCTTACTGCTGAATTTTTGCCATTGTAATCTTATATTTTTACATCTTTTTTGGAGGTGAGACACTTGAATACTCGGGGAAGTCTTCAAAAGGTTACCAGTGGATATCAGGCATCAGGGCTTATGTTAATCCGAAAGAAGGAGCAAATGTGCAAGAATCGGCTAAAGGTGTCTTTTCATCACTGTCAGGTAGTTTATTTTATCTTTTATAGTATGATATCTTGTATACAACATATGCATTTTAATTAAGGTTGCAGCTTTTGATTAATAATCATTGTAATTTAATTTATGAAGAGCTTTGGTTGAGTTAGGAAACGGCTTGGAAACGGGGATGAGCACCGCCCCCTAGAGTCGAACACGACTGGACAGAAATTGTCAAGGGGAACCTTTACCTTTACGTAAGATAGTAAGTAATTTGGTTTGCTTTAAGAGGTGGAGCTGGTTACTTATGAGCAAAATATATTAATGCAAGAGCCTCCCGTCCTCGCATCACTTCCCAGCTAGCTGGAAGCATCTTGCTTCCTCTTGGTTTTAGATTTTGTCCAAGGATGGCATGCCTATATTTCTTCTTCTTTCCTTCCTCAAACACCTCTAGGATAGAAATGGGGAATGTGTGGCCCTCCAGATGTAAGTTTGAAACTCATTTTATCCTATTGGGTGCAGTGCTGAGGGAACTGTAGTTCAAAATATTCTGGAAGAGAATACGTTTCCTGTTACTGATTAAGACAATTTTGTACTGCCACATGCCAGCACACCTTGGCACTTCCTTCACTACTCTGGATTTTTCAGCATGAGCACAAACAGGTCTTTTTCTTTTTACTGCTCTTCCAATTGCCAGCTGCAATTAAAGGAGCAGTCAGGATCACACTAGGGTGAATGAAACAACTATTCCTCCTGTCTGCTGAAAATTATACCAGCTTTAAATCAATTAATTGTTTTAACCGCCTTTGGTTAATAAACTAAGCAAAGAATCCAGAATCCTGCTGGTGTTTACATAACTTGTCATGGCTAACTCATGGGAGTACCAAGGAGCATTTTGATTGCACAGCTGGACACATGACAAGTCACAGGATGAAAACTTGTCCTAGCAGCTCAGCAATTAGTTGCAGCATGTCATGGGAACTTTACAGAAACACAGTAAAATTCTGGCCTATATTTTAAAAAATGATCAGTAGATCATTTTAAAAACACATTTAAGGACATTAATACGATGACTTGTTAGATTAGATTATCCCAGGGTTGCTTGTCCAGAAGGTCCTTATGTTAGGACTTTCTGGGCAGCTAATACTTAGTGGTTGTAATCCTGTTGTGCAGTTATACAAACGTGCAATTTTTAGACGTGAAGTGCCATAGGTCAAGACATCTCCATAGGTATTATCTGTTGCACATAAATTTGCATGACTTAATATGCAACAGATAATGTCTACAGAGATTCCATCACTGATGGCACTTCACTTCTAAAATTTACACTATTTGTGTAACTGTTCAACAGGATTTCAGCCTCTGTTTGGTAGCAGGAGTTTTCAGAATATTAGAGTGATTTTTTGAAATGTTATAATTAGGCTAAATAGCTTTTCCTTTCCACATTGTTTTATTTATTCAAGACTGGAATTTGTTTTCATACTTCTTATCTTTTCCTGTATGCACTCCCTATTTCATATGCTTTTTCCTAGCTGAACTGCCTTTATCATCATAATTTTAAATTAAGTTCTCTGGAAATCTGTTGCTGTGGTACATTTTGGCATTTAGGATTAGGTCAGTGGCTCTAAATCTCATTTATGTACTTAATGCAAAGGAAGAATTGCTATCTTGGGAATTGCGGTAGCTGGATTTCTTACTATCAAACCCTTAGAAGATATTGACATATAAAACAAAATGTTTCCATTTTGTTCTGCATCTTTTCTCATTTTTACACTTTTAAATAAAGAAATGTTTATGCAGGCATCTTTTTCATTCATAAAAATGGAAATTGCTCTCTGAGGCAGCAATGGGCAAGCTTGTATTCTTGTTCACGAATACTTTTGATGTATGGGCTCATAAAATCACAACATTTGGCTTGTGCAGCTGAGTTCATGACTGAATACAGAATGATAAGGAGGCACGAGCGATTTTGCAAAGTGAAAGGCCGTGCGCTTTCTAAAGGACCCTTAAGCTAGTTCTTAACAGCCTGGAAATCAGCAAGGAGGATGTAATCAGACTCGTAGGGAAAGGCAGCAATGTTCTGCATAAATCTTTTGGGCATAATATGTAAATTGAAGCAATGGGGCTCTGTAACATTTACTTGGCTCTTGTTATATTTCCATGGACCACAGCCAATTCAAATACTATACATCTTTGCCATTCTTTCCAATAGAATTAAATGAAAAGTAGTGGTTGTGTTTCTGGCTTGATGTTTTGGAAGCCTGCTGATTTAGACAGATTACCTGCTTTTAAAGTATTCTATTTTTGGCAGACTCTTAGCATTTTAGTCCGGGTAGTACTTGCACTTTCTTATTTTTGCTTTCGGACCGGGGGTTGAGAACACTACAGGAATTAAGGTCCTGTCATCTGGAGAGAGAAAAGCCCTCAACAATATAGGTTTCTTTGGAAAAAGAAACAGTTCTGAGACTCTTCAAGTGTAACATTTTCCTAGAAAATCTGAACCTGCTGTCTGCTCACTCTTTTATTCTGTTATTTTTTTAATGGTGTAAAAAAGAAGGAAGGAAAAGCCTTGTTGTAAGGCTGGTTGTTTAGTTCCTCTGAAAAAACATGTGGTTTGCCAAGTGGAAATCTGCTAATGGCCTGCCAAACACACAGGGTAGACCTAACTCTCAGTATTAAGGCTGCAAGTCTGTTAATTCATCACAGATTCTTTAAAAAGAACATTGCTAGCTTCTTTTCTGATTTTTAAAATATATAGTTATTCAGGTAGGTACTCCAAAATTCAAATATTGAATAGTGTTGGTTTAGGAGAGAAAGCACCCAACTTGCACTGCTTCAGATATGGTTTTAAAGCCCTCTAATTGGAAGCATGCTACAATTACATTTACATGATGCATGTACTTCTTCTAAATGTAGCTAAGCAATATTGGGGTTAATAATATTTGGGTTAATCCAGAAATGCCATTCCAAAATAGAACAGCCTTAAATCCTGTGAAAATACTTACAAAGGGAAAGGGAGCAAGATTAGTTGATCTTCCCCTTTCCTGAAGCCCACTGACTTCATTTATATGGTCTGTAGGTTCCTCCTATGGTCTGTAGGTTCCTTCCGGTGATCCGGAATGAGTGTTTTCAGAAGAAAATTAGGATTTGTTGGACAACTAAGCTCTGTGGACCAGAACAAACTTTGTGCACAGAGGGTTTAAAGCAATATGCATCACCATATGTTCACCCAGCATGTGAAATGAGAGTTTTTTGGATAGTCAGGCTGCCTCCCCACGATGTCCCTGAGCAGCTAAAGAGGGACATAGCCTAAAGGAGCCCCACATGCCTAGAATTATATCATACAAAGATGAATCTTGGCCAATGAGGATTCCCCTTCACATGTATATTTCTAAACGTGCAGGGCTCATTCTCTATTAAACTGAGCATGAGTTCATGCAGGTGTGTGTATTGGTCAACATAATTCCTCTGTTTTCTAAATGCATGACAATTCTGCCCTCGATTTCCTAAATGCATTAGGAGAGCAAAAATGTTCCATCTCCATTGCCTGAGGCAGATTCCTTTCTCTGTGGATAATATGTTAAATATAACATATGATATATATCTGAAGAAAGGGTTGTGTCTGAGAATAACTCAAAATGATTTTCAAGGGGGCTGCTGATGGATTCTATACACCAACATCCTCAGAATGCATACACCTATTTTTAGATAATAATAATTAGGAAGAACTGTGCTTAAAAGCAGATGAGTTGGTAGTTGTGTGACGGACTGAAACATAAAATAAGTGTATGTCTATGGACAGTGAAAATGTATGTGTGGCCTATGATGAATAATATAAAACAGGGTGTCTGTATTGTTGTTCTAAAACAAAATGCTGATTTAAGAAAAAGAAAGTTGAGGCTTGACAAATTAGCTGATTCTGGTGTTTCAAGAGATATAGTAGCAGCAATGTCAACCACAGTTAACTTCATCCAGTAGGCTTAGGCATGATTTTTTTTTACAGAAGTACAGTGGTGCCTCGCATTACAGCATTAATTTGTTCCAGCGAAATCGCTGTAGAACGAAAACGTCATAATGCGAAATAAAAAAGCCCATCGAAACGCATTAAAACCTGATTAATGTATTCCTGTGGGCTTGAAACTCACCGTCCAGCGAAGATCCTCCATAGTGCGGCCATTTTCGCTGCCTGTGCAGCGAGGAATCTGTCCCAGAGAAGAGTGGGAAGCCGTTTTTTTTACCTGACGGCCATTTTGAAACCGCCGATCAGCTGGCCGAAAATCGTCATTTTGCGAGAATCGGTTCCCGAAGCAGGGAACCGATCATTGCAAAGCAAAATTCCCCCATTGAAACCATCGTAAAGCAAACACTTTTAGGATCGCAAAAAGTTCGTCATAATGTGATTTCGTCGTTAAACGGGGTGCTCGTCTTGCGAGGCACCACTGTATAAAACTGGTTGAGAATCTAATTAAGCAGTGAATTGGATTCATAACATTTTTTAAAATTAAATTTACGTATACCCCGTCCATCTAGATGGACTAAGTTTTGTGTTTGAGAGGGACAGGGCATTGTGAGGTCAGCAGACTGCCAGTCCCTTTAGAACTGTTAAACCATATTCACTAGCTATACAACATCTAGTAAATTTGGTAACTCATTTGAACTTAACTGCTTCCTGAAAGTAATTCACTATTAACTATATGGAATTCTGCAGTCATTGACTTTTTAAGTCTGGCACAAATGGGCACATACTGACAGTTCATGACAGAAACAGGCCAGATTTATTGCTCCTGATGGAGAACCCTAAATATCTGTTTGCATTGAGACCTTGGTCCATTGAATTCAAACTCCTCTAATTTGCTTATACACATTTCTTAGAATTCTATTTATCTATTTTTCTGCACATACACACACGCACACACACGCACACTTTTGAATCACTAATACATTTGGAAGTACTTCTATCTGATTGACAATTGATGATAGGTCTCAAAGTCTACTTCCATGTTAAATCAGATAATTGAAACTAAAGAGACAGTAGTGTTTGTGTGATCTTTGACACTAATAGAGGCGTGAACTTCTGAGTACTATACAGTGCTAGTGGCAATATTCCTTCTACTCGCAGTTCTTTGAATTCATCTCCTCATGTTTGTACCTAATTCTGATTGCCTCATTTCAGACAATGTAAGAATTTCAATTTATGCAAAAGTGCTTTGGAAAGTACTGTAGAAGTAAAATCACCGGCAATTCAGTGGTGTCAGATACGGTATTATTTTCAAAATACCTTACTGTGGTTATTGCCATTCTGTCAATGGCCTCAGCTGAACTAGGAGAGAGTTAAGCTGTTATTTCCTTTTCTTGGGGAGGCATTTTATAAAATTATTCCTCCTATCATTGTATGTGAATGTAATGTTTCCATCCTTAATTTCTACATTATTTTCCCACATGCAGCTCATCTGAACTCAAAAGGACTGGAATGGGCAGATACTATATTGGTTCATCTATATATGAAGAGCATGAAAGATTTTGATACTATAAATTCTGTCTATATGACAGCATTTGATTTGTGTCCCCCAGCAAGGTGGGTTCATAGTACTGTTGTCTTATATTTATGATACACTGGAATATAGTTCTTTACCCGCCTAGAGTGGTCCTCACCGACCAGATAGGCGGGGTATAAATTAAATAAATAATAATAATAAATAATAATAATAAATCTGACTTTCAGTTTCTTTCTCTTCGATGGACTGGTCTTTCTTTCACCAATGTGTATGTCCGTTTTCAAAAACCTATGTTATTCTGGGTTTTAGAAGTTGGCTCATAAGTGGCACATGAATGCTTGCTTCTTTAGTAAAGCCTTGTAAGGTAACTCTCCCAAGTTCATAAACATAGTCCTAAAAAATCTCATATACTTTCTTATTGAGTCCAGCCCCTTTGCTATCAAATTTTGTTCCAGGAGAACTAAAATCCTACTTCACACAAATATAATTGTCACATAATTGCCAAATTGCTGGTGAGCTTTGTGACATCTTTCAATAGTAGCCATTGCTAAAATCATTCAGGGAGATACAAGATATTTGATTAACAGATGAGTCTTCTTTGGCCTGGTCTCCATCTTTAATCTTTCGTAAATAAAATGCAAAGCAGTGTGGTTACTGAGAGAAGGATTTTAACCCACAGCATATTTGAAGACATAAGTAACAGAAATGTATTTTGTGTGTTTGTGTAGAACAGAGGTATGCAAAGCACAGCTCTGGGGTTAAATGCACCCCATCAAGAGAGAATTTGTGAGCCCCCTCAGCCTCTTCTTTAACAACAACAAACTTGCTGCTTTTTGATGTTTCCCTTATTAAACAGGTTACGGGCATTCTCTGTTCTGTTTAACACCTCACCCTCACACATGTTGGCCATAAATAATTGGAATTCTGTTCAACCAACCAATAGCTGCGTTCAGTTCTATTTTTGGCAGTCAGAAACCTGGACCTGCCAAAGTTGGCCACCACACACGTGAGCATGAGTGCAGGAGCTCTAATCTGTATCAGGATGCTGGCTTGAGGGCCCTTACCTTTCCCCTATTACAGTCCCAAATGAGATCATTCTCCTTACCTGTCTGTACCTATTGTGAAATATTTACTGTCCATTAGAGTAGATCAGTGTGTTGCAATAGATATTTCAGGTACATGGTCCTTGAATTAGACTGCGGCCAGAGTATGTTGGAGGAGGAAGAAGGGTTTAATTTCCTCTAACCTCTATACAAGTGTCTCAGTAGAGATCTACTTTAGAATAAAGAAGAAGAAAGTAACTCCAAGGTACCTTTATTCCTTCAAATGTATACTTCTGGCCTCAGGTAGTTCCAAATGCATGTGCTCTACTTGTAGAAGAATGCAGATAACATGAAGCTTCATCCCTTTCTCTGAAACCTTAGTGCCACGGTGTTGCAGTCTCCTTTTATGTGCTTCAGGAAAGATTTTAAAGTAGATTACAGCATGATATTAAGGAGATTCTGTTCAGGTCATAAAAAAACGTAAAGCTCCACACTTTACCTGTCCTCACATGCTGTTTTTTTATCCCACAATATCAGATATTTTTCCATGCTTGCTTCAGTTAATTGAAAAAGCATGCTGAATCAGTTGCTGGCATCGCTGTCATTCCTAGTTTTACCTTACTAAATAGCCATACTGGGGCTTTTTAATAAATTCAGTGCAAACATGTTTTCCTTTTCATTTCTCTTAATTTGATATCTTCTTCAAATGCATTTCATTTCTATTTTCTCAATAAAAATGTTAATATATAAAGTTAATGAAATGAAGGCTCTACAATTAAAATATTTTTAATACTGCATAAAATCTTTTATAAGAAGCAAGTTCTTTGGGAATTTCTTGTCCTGTTGAGGGCTTTATTACTTATTTCAGTTAATAAGATAGATTTCCTCCTACTTAGTAATAGCTTTACTAGTAATTGGATCTCTGTGAAACTCATTGCACTGAAGACTTTCTTGAGATAAATATCCAGTATTCCTTATTAATGTCATGCCCCATAATTTACAAAAGAGAAATCTGTGTGTTATCCCAATATATAATCAGTTGAAAAGAGGCCCGGAAATAATTGAATTATGTTTCAATCTCTATGTTCTAGAGAAAGTATATAGGAAATAGTAAACTGTTCAAAAGATATACAGAGCTTGGAGGAGTTACTTTTTCGGACTACAACATGGAGTATCCAGATAGCATGTCACTTGCTGTCCATCTTACCAAAAAGGTAGCTTTTTGAAGCTTTATCCCGAGCTGCATTCCCACAGTGTCAGTAGGCAGCTGAAACTTCTTTGTGTGGGTTCCTCCTTCACTGAAACAAATTCCTTTCAGTTTTAACATTGTACATTTAAAGGCTTTTCATGGTCACTCAGGCTCAAAGATGCTGGGAAATTACATCTTTTGAGCATGGAACCCATAATGGACATATTGTTTAGACAATATAGGTATGGTGTGGTACCCTATGCCTCCTTCACCACTACTCTGGCATAAGATGGCTGCAAGTATTAGAGTGGCATTCCCAAGCATATTGGAGCTTAAATAAACATATCAACCCATTCACAGTGGATGTTAACCTGAATGGTGGTGGTGGTGGTGATGGTTCTTTAATTATGTTGATAACATTTTGAGAAGGCAGTGTGATTTTAAGCATGTGCAGAGATCTATGGAGTTTTGCAACAAGGAATGGAAGGTATGTGTGCTTTGAGTGCTAAAAAAGTCGGAGCCAGAAGGAAGGACAAGATATTTTTTAAAGGATCAATTTGATGGTGGTGGGGTGATGACAGAAGGGTACGTACTTTTATGCCATGTAGTGTTTCACTTTAACACATTTTTAAAACACATTTGTTCAAATATGGAAATATTATGATAGATATCTTTTAATATGAAATGATAATTATTATTTCGGGAACTGTAATGTTGCTTTAAAAATACTCAGATTTTTGAAGTACCGGTAATATCCTGTCTAGTAATTTTTAAAAGGAAAATAAATTTAGGCAGCAAATCCCTCTGGCATTAATATCTTGCAGGCTTATAAACATATATATTAAGGAGAGCTTATTTACTCACATATCTTCTGGGGTCTAGCTTCAGCAGCAGAAAGGGCTCCCTTCCAAATATCTTGCAGGCTTATACATGTATATATATTAAGGAGAGCGTATTTACTCACATATCTTCTGGGGTCTGTAGCTTCAGCAGCAGAAAGGGCTCCCTTCCATTCTTATAAGAAATCATGCTGAATTAGCAGTTGGCAAATGTAGCCTCCCTGATATTGGTTGGTTAGTTCAGTGGTTCTTAACCTTGGGTTATTCAGGCATTTTTGGACTGCAACTCCCAGAAGCCTTCACCACTAGCTGTGCTGGCTGGGGTTTCTGGGAGTTGCAAAAAGACCTGAGTAACCCAAGGTTAAGAACCACTGGGTTAGTTGATTATTTGTTTGCTGCCTTTCTCCCCATTGTAGAGTCATGACAGATCGCAAGAATTAAAACTATACAATAATCAACAATTTTGACATCATAAACATTATATTAAAAAAACAATTAAACATATAAAGGATTAAAAAGAAGATTAAAAACAGAATTTTTAAGATTCCTAAAAACATCTAAAAATCTCATTTAATAAATGAGATCCTTATTGCTTAAAAGCCTTCCTGAACAGGAAGGTCTTTGCCTTGTGACAGAAGGATAAGAAGGAGAGGTCCAACATAATTTCTTGGCTCTCCCTCGAGACCTCACCAAAACAGTTTGGGAAGGTAGTAGTAGAGCTGAGAGAAGGGCCTCCCTAGAAGATCTGAAAAGCTGAGAAAGCTCATATGAGGTGATACGATCCTTCGGATTTAGAGTGCTACTTTTACCCCCATGGCCAGCTGTATCAGTAATGAGGAATGCTGGCAGAGTACAACAGTGTCTTAAGGGTAGCATTTTACCCACCCATTGACTTAATCTGTTAGTCTTGATTATAGTCTATCTGTGGAAGCTCTGGGCCTTACATACATTTTGACTTACCAACGTTCCATTGATTCAGTGGGTCTTTTCTAGTTATAATTAACTATGGGAGTCAACCTGTGTCCTCTAATTACATGAGTTGTTTCCCCTTCCGCAACCAGTTGTTTGATGTGCATGAAAAATGTCAGTGTGCATTAAGGAATTCTGAGACTTAGGATTTCTAAAGTTTAGTGTCAAATGTGAAAGATCTGTTGTTCAGACCTGTGTAGAATTCATTTGTGACTCCCATTGTTTGCTATAGATCCACTTCCACCACCCTTCAACAAGGCATCTTGTACATGTGGTTTGTCAAAGCATGCAAGTGGTGGTAAGAAGAGCAAAGAGAAGGAGCTGTGTCCCTTATTTCCCTTACATTCTTTGAGCAGTCATGCTGGTTGGGCCATGAAGGAGAGGTTAAGTGGAGACAGTGGTGGTGTGTTGTGGAACTGATTCTTAAAGCCTACTTTCACCTGAGAAACAGAAAAAAAGAATTTCAGTTATATGTCCAACCACAGAAGATATGTCACTGTATTCCCTTAAAAATGTCACAAAGAACATTGTGTTTTCTCTTCTGGTTTCAGAGTTTGTGTTGAAGCCCCTTTGCCAGAAGGAGTGTTGTTTCAGATGGACTGCCTTCAATATCAATCTGATGGGATGATTGGTGATGTACCCAGCTGTGAGAAACAAGTTATGCATGTACAGAGCATCTCTCACTGGGCACCTGCCAACATAGGACCTTACAGTCAGTGCATACAGGTATGTAGTATTTAGTTCCTCTAAAGAGTGTCATCACTATAGAGAACCCATTAGCCATCCATCTTAAGAGAAATTAATATTGGTTTTTGTTTTATTTTTATTGCATCAGAAGATCTAATTCTATGTTTTGAAGCAGAATGAGATGAAAAAGTTACTGGTGACATGAATGTTCAGTGATGCAAAAATATACAAGATGCTTACATTTCTAAAGGGATACTGAAAGCTGATATGGAGACTCGTGTTGTGAAATCTGTGTTGATTAGTGCAAATAACAATCTCTGTGAAAATAGAGATTTTGAATATATGTTGTAAGGAATTAACTTCATAGTAAGACATACCTTGGGATTCATTGCTGCTAGGGCTGAATTGCAATGCCTGTATTTGGAGTAAATGGTTTATTGTTTTGTCATTAAACAGTACAGAAAAGTGTTGGCAAAAACTGTAAATGCATGATTTGTACACAGCTAAGATGGTATGTCCTCGCCATCATAATCTGGGTATGTCATGCACACTAGAAAACGAAATGCTAGTATCAGAAATATTTTTTATAAGAGTCTTCTGTAGATTGGCACATCTCATAGTGTCAGACAAAACAGCTGGCTAAATTAATCCTGACACAGCAAAACCACTATGTTGGAAAGCAAAAGGAAAATCAACACACACAACTGCCACTTGAAAACATTCCTATCCCCTTTCACGTGTATAATGTCTAGTAGAACTCAGCTTGTGTTCTGGAGTAATTAACAGCGATTGTATGCTAATTCCTGATCCTCACCAGGCATTGCAGACCCTGGTCTCCTTCAACGATATCAGCACATCTTCCTCCATTCTGGCCAGCTGTTTCCCACTGATCCCATTCCCCAACAACACCTGGACTTTCCTCATCGCAGCCTTCCTGCGAGCCCTGCTTCACTTATGCTCTTAGGGCACTGCAGGGTGAGGGGCAGATGGCCCTCTAGAAGTACCAGCTGCCTTCACACCCTCATATATACATGAAACTTTCATTGTGAGGTAGCCATAATTATTTCCTGTTGAGGACTGTGCATGAAGGCTGCCTTGACACCCTCATATATACATAAAACTTTCACTGTGAGGCCAAAATTATTTCCTGTTGAGGACTGTGCATGAAAAAAATAATTGTAGAAAGATAACAACCATTACTTTTTTTTACTACAAAATCATTATAATAATTATATAACGTCAGTACAATAACAATTCCTAGAACTGCATCAGGGCTTTCAGAGTTACTTTTAGTTCAGATGTGAAAACATTGATAGAAAGATGAGATATTAAGCTTTAGTTAAAAAACAGCTCCACTGCTCAGTATCTTGCATATTTCATACAGCATGACATGAAAAGTAATTTTGTGTGTATCTCTCAATCACAGAAAGTGTAAGCAAAAATCCACTGGGATTATTATAGACAATGCATGTTATTTTATTCAATACAGCTGAAAATTAAGAGACCTGGTGTGAACACAGTGATTGAATCAATTTTTTTGTCATTACCAAATCAAGTAAGCTTCATTAGATGTTGGCAATGTTACATTCTCCTATCAAATGCAAGGTAGCTGTAGAAATGGTGGGAAAGGCAGAGAAGGAACAAATCCATCATAAGTACAAGGCCACACATACAGGGTCAAGAACTTGGAATGTTAACTCCACTGGAGCAGAAGTATGTTGTAATAATTAATGGCAGGGCCAAGGATGAACCTGGAATTCAGAAGCAATTCAGGTGACCAAGAGAAAAGATAGTGATCTGAAGCAGAAGGAAAAAAAGGCCTGATTGATGTCACGTCCCCAGTGAGTAAAAGACACAGATGACGGCCTATACAGCCAAATATTTTTCTGCAAGCTAGACAGGTAGTTTTTATTTCACTGCTCTAAGTACACTTTTTTCCAGTGTCACTGATGTGTATAGGTATTAGTATTTGCTTTAATGTTAATGATGTTTTATCATAATATATTATGCATTATTCTAGTTGTGTGGTGGCAAGAATGGTTCTACAGGTTATGGCCATTTATATTTTGCTGCCCTTAAAAGCAGCTTTCAAACTACTTAAAGTGCATTCGTTTAGAGCACCTTGCAAATAATGTCTAGAATAAATTGCAGTTATTTTTACAGAATCACATGACTTTCTGTTGTTCATTCATCATGCTGATGAAATTAAAAATAGCTTCAATACAGTTGAAATCTGTGAAGT